GCCTCAGCCTCCCAAGTAGCTGGGACTGCAGGCGTGCGCCACCACGCCCAGCTAATTTTTGTATTTTTTTAGTAGAGATGGGGTTTTACCATGTTGGCCAGGATGGTCTCGATCTCTTGACCTCATGATCCGCCTGCCTCGGCCTCCCAAAGTGCTGGGATTACAGGCATGAGCCACTGCACCTAGCCGCCCACATGGGAATTTAAGGAGGAGTCCAGAGGACTGCCCCCCTGAGTTTCCTCTCTCATCTGTTTCTTGCTCACAAATGACCCACACCCACTGGTGTACAAATATTCCCCGCCATGGCTTGTTTACAGTCTCTCTTAACTCCTTCTTCCCTGGAGATAGTAGTCCATTTCTCTACCCTTCCCACCCCTATTTATGAGAAAACTTCCCAAAAGCATGGTCACTACTCACTGCCTCCACTTCCTCAATCCCCATTCTCCCCTCAGCCATTTCCAGCCTGGCTTCCACCCCACTATGCCACCAAAGTCACCCTCTTCAAAGCTATTTGTGACCTACTTGTAGCTAGATGTGACAGGAGCTCCTCTCTGCTCATCCCACACTAACTCTCCCCACATTGACATGGTGGATCCTGCCCTTCCTCCTGAAACTCTCAGCTTCTGGAAACTTACTTCCGGGTCTCCTTCTACCTCACTGGGTGGATCTTCCTCTTTCCGGTGACAAAGGCACCCTTGTGCTCAATCCTGGGAATTCTCTGCTCTGTGTATACTCATTCCCTGTGATGTCTGGTAGCCCACAGCGTTTTTTTTCTTGTTTTGCATCTTGATGGTCATATTTATTGGAAGAGCTTGAGAAAAATGAAAATACCATTTAGCTTAAGAAGTTGTGAGTTACTGCAAATGAACTCATTTCAGGAGTGGAAGAATCCCCAGAATTCTTTTTTTTTTTTTTTTTTTTTTGAGACGGAGTTTCGCTCTTGTTACCCAGGCTGGAGTGCAATGGCGCGATCTCGGCTCACCGCAACCTCCGCCTCCTGGGTTCAGGCAATTCTCCTGCCTCAGCCTCCTGAGTAGCTGGGGTCACAGGCACGCGCCACCATGCCCAGCTAATTTTTTGTAGTTTTAGTAGAGACGGGGTTTCACCATGTTGACCAGGATGGTCTTGATCTCTTGACCTCGTGATCCACCCGCCTCGGCTTCCCAAAGTGCTGGGATTACAGGCTTGAGCCACCGTGCCTGGCCCAGAATTATTTCTTAATATCAAAATGTATGCAGGTTTCTCTTTTGAATGTCTTGTACATTTAGAGAGGCCATTGCACAAAGTCTCCTGATTTCCATATAGAACAAATTCTTTGTTTCAGTGAACTCTCAGTGGAGGGGCAACCAGGACAATGCCATCTCCCTGGACAAAGAGCACTGGAATATTCCGTTTGTTGATTTACATATCTCTTCCTATGTTTCGTCACCAATTTCTATAGTACTTACAGTTTCTTCCACATCTCCCAAGATCACATTTAAATGTTGATCATAAGCATGTAATCTGCCTCGAAGCTCTCGGCCATTTCTCATTTTCACATAAATTCGCTCATCTAGGCTGAGCCTGATAAGATCCAGGGGCTCCTCTGCAGTGTTGGTAGTTTGTTGCTCATCTACATCATCTGCTATGTTTCACGTCCACACCCAATAGCATCTCTCTGCTAAAGACCTGACATTTACATTCCCTGCCTTAACCTCCTCTCCCCTGCTCTGAGCTCCAGGCTCCTATGTTCAACTGCCTACTCCACGTTGCTCCTTAGCTGCCTAACAGGCCTCTCAACCTAATGGGTCCAAATGGAACTTCTGGGCTCCACCTGCCAAACGTGCTCCTCTGTTTTTAATTAACTACATTAATAAGAGACCACATCATCCACCCTCAATCAAGCTGAACACCTAATCAGTCCTAAAATCTAGGAATCAGTTATCTAAACTTCTTTTCTAGTTCAGGGCTTCTCAATCTCTACACTATTGACATTTTGGGCTGAATCCTTTGTTGTGGGGGATTGTCTGACACTGTACATCTACCCTGTGCCTTGTAGCATGTTCAATGTCTTCCCCTAGGAGGTGGCAGGATCCATGGCGAGATGCCAGGCCCATTCAGGGTCAGCCCCCTCTGCTAAGGCCCCAGTATGGGGATAGGGTGCAGCAGGGTAATGTTGAACTGTGACTCATGGCCAGGCAGCCCTGGTACAAGCCCAGATGGCCCAAGAGGCCTTTAGCCCCTAGATGCTACCCCCTACTCCAGCTGTGATAACCAACAATGTCTCTGAATATTGCCAAACATTCCCTGGTGGGAACATTGCCCCCAGTTGAGAACCATTGTTTTAATATAATAAATATACAAAGGTATCTATCATAAGTGTACATTTGAAGGCATTTTCACAAATGGAACACAAGTGTATAACCTGCACCAAGTCAAGAAACAAGAGACTGAGCGTGGTGGCTGATGTCTGTAATCCCAGCACTTTAAGAGGCCAAAGCAGGTAGATGATTTGAGGTCAAGAGTTCGAAACCAGCCTGGCCAAAATGGTGAAGACTCATCTCTACTAAAAATACAAATATTAGCTGGGTGTGGTTGTGGGCACCTGTAATCCCAACTACTTGGGAGACTGAGGTAGGAGAATTGCTTGAATCCAGGAGGTGGAGGTTGCAGTGAGCTGAGATCATGCCACTGTACTCCAGCCTGGGTGACAGAGTAAGACTTTGTCTCAACAACAAGAAAGAAAGAAATATAACATTATCAGCACCCTAGAAGCCTGCTTGCAATCACCACCTCTTCTCCCCAAGGGGTACCGCTATCATGACTTCTAACAGCTTAGACTTTGACTATTTTTTTACTTTATTTAAAATAGTATTATAGGGTATGTATTCTTTTGGGTCTGGATTCTTTTTCTCAAGGTTCTATTTGTGAGATTCATCCACACTGTTCTGAGAATTGTAGATGAAATTCTATCGTGTGAAGGTACTACAACTTATTTCTCCATTTTACTGTTGACAAGCATTTGCGTAGATCCCGAGTTGGGGTATTATGTACAATGCCCCAGGAACATTCATGTAAATGTCTTTTGGTGAACACGGGCAGTCATTTCTTTGGGGTATATACCTAGAAGGAAAACTGCTGGATTGAAGGATGTGTGTATGTTCAGCTTTAGCAGATGTTACCAAACAGTTTCCCAAAGTAGTTTTTGCCTAAATATACTCCCACCAGCAATGTGTGAATTGCCAGGATTTCTCCTTGACTTCACTCTTATGGTCACGTGCCACATCTGATCCATCAGCAGGTCCTGATGGTTTCCCTTTCAAAACCTAACTGGAATCAGGCAACTGCCACCACTCTAGTCTGGCTGTCACCACTCCCCAGCTGGGGGTCTGCAGGAGCCTCCTAATTAGACTCCCAGCTCCTACTTTTGCCATTCTTTTTTTTTTTTTTTTTTTTTTTGAGGCTTGATCTTGGCTCACTGCAACCTCTACCTCCTGGTTTCAAGTGATTCTCCTGCCTCAGCCTCCCAAGTAGCTGGGATTACAGGCATGTGCCACCACGCCCAGCTAATTTTTGTATTTTTAGTAAAGACAGGGTTTCACCATGTTGCTCAGTATGGTCTCGAACTCCTGACCTTGTGATCTGCCTCCTCGGCCTCCTAAAATGCTAGGATTACAGGCATGAGCCACTGTGCATGGCCCTTGCCATTCTTTAGTTGAGCCTTCACCCAGCAACCAGAATGATCCTGTTAAATTATAAATCAGATCACATCACTCCCCTGCTCAAAAAATCCAGGCTCCTCCCCAAAGCCTTCAGAAGACCACATGATCTGCCCTTCTGTCTTCCCTCATCTCCACTCAGTCTCTTCCAGACACAATGGACTTGCTGTTTCTTGGACAGTCGGGGTTCCTTCTCACCCCAGGTTTCTGCAGTTGCTGTTTCTTCTTCTAGAGAACTCTTCCCCCTAGATGTCTGCATAGCTGGCTCTTCTCATCAGTGATGTTTCAGCTCAAATACCACATCTTCTAGGAGGCCTTCTCAGACCACCCCTAAAGCAGTCTTCCCTCCTACCCATTATCCCATGGCCCTATTTTTAAACATACACCCAATCTCAAATGATCTCATCTATGAGTTTGCTTACGTATAGTCTTTCTCTCCTTATTAGAATTTGAGCCACGTGAGGGCAAGAAGCCAGTGGATCTCATAAACAGACGTATCCCTCGCACTATTACCTGAAACACAGGAGTGTTATCCATATGTGCTGAATGAATGAATGAATGAATGAGCCCCAGGTGTTTAGGAAGACCCTAGCATAGATGCCCGCATTGTAGGGACGACTCTCACCTGCAGGTGGCCTCCTCAGGCCCTTCGGGTGACACTGGGAGCACAGGGCCTCCCAGCGAAGTGGCCAGATTCAGGAGCCCTCCGCACAGCGGGCACTAGGACCCTGCGCAGCGCCGCGTCTGGCTGGGGGCGGCGGGCGGGGGGTGGGGGGGATCCGCTCTTTCTCCCTCCTAGAGCCCGGCTGCAGCCACTTGTGCGATCCGGGCCCTCGCCGCGGCCGCCTGGCCTCTTTCCGCGCCATGAGCCGCAGGTTCACCGTCACCTCGCTGCCCCCGGCAGGGCCCGCCAGAAGCCCCGACCCGGAGTCCCGCCGGCATTCGGTCGCAGACCCCCGCCACCTCCCGGGGGAAGACGTCAAAGGTAGAGGCCGCAGGGGGCGGGGCCTGCCGGTACCGGGCGGGGCGACGAGGGGGAGGGGCCGGGGCGGACCGTCTGTTGGAGGGGGCGGGACCAGGACCGGGGCGGGGAGGGGTCCCAGCTCTAGGCCTGAGAGGGGAACGGAGCCGGGACCAGGAAACCGTGAAGGGGAGGAGCCAGACGTGAGGTGGGCGTGACCACAAGGGAAAGGGGTGGGGCCAGGGAAGGAGTTGGGATGGAGGCGAAGGGGGCGGGTCTGGTGATGGAGGGGCGGGGGGGCAAGGCGGAGACTAGGCCAGATGGTACTAAAGGGACGGGGGCATCTCGAGTAGGGAGCGGGATCAGAGCTGGGAGGTGGCACTAGGGAAAGAGAGGGCTGTGTGTTGAAGCGGAGTGGTCAGGAGCCCCTAAAAGGGAGGCGGCGGGACTAGGTCGTTTTGGGGTCAGGAAAGGTCAGGACCCGTGGGGAATGAGTTGGGCCAGGAGGATGGGAGTAGGGCCAGGGAGAGGGATGGGGTCAAGGGCGGAAGGAAAACTGAGTCAGGGTTGCGGAGGCAGGTGCCGGGTCAGCGGGTCCTCGGTGCCTGGCAGGTCCTCCAATCCTCTACCTCACTGGAGGCGTGGCGGACAGCGACTGGGGATCCCGGTAAGGAGACAGGAGGCAGGGAAGTTAGTGTGGAACCTGGGCAGCTAGATCCAGGGAGGATGCCGTAGCGTCGCTGAATCCAACCCTCGGGGACCCACTTAGCTCCTTGTCTGCTCCAGCTCTGTAAGAGTTGGTAGAAGCCGGCATAGGCGAGATTGGGGCTTCTTCATCGCGGGCCCTGTGCAGGGGTCTTGTAACGGAAGTTACACGCAGGGCAGAGTAGAGGGGAAGGGAAAGATCCTTCTGGCCTTCGATGGAGAAGTAGCATCCTGGATGCGTGCACAGTCTCCCCGCAGGGGCACTCATCAGGGGACCTCTCCCTGGCTCTTAGGCCCTCGGGTCTGGAAGGAGAAAGGCGAATCGGCTTGTAGTGGCCCCAGCAAGGGGAGGAGGAGGAGGAGGAGGAGGAGGAGGAGGAGGAGTCGTCTCCCCAAGCCGCCAGGGGTCGCTGCCGAGCCGCAGGTGAGCTCGCCCCGAAGCTAACCCAAGAGCCGAAACCCCTAGAGTAGCCCTTAGGGGGTTATCTGGCGAACCTCCTCATTGTACAGATGACCAAATTGAGGCCTAGAATTCCGAAGGGCTCAGTCTCGTGAACCGAACGCCTCCTGGTTGTGGCCACCTGGATTTCTTGGGCTCCTGCTACTCTTCATCTTTCTCATAATCCATCTCTTTACTCATTTTCATGAATGACCTTACCCGCCTCCCAGATCTGAAAGTCAGAAATTATGGAGCCATTCTCAACCCTTCCTTTTCTCTTTCCAGCAAATCCACTGGTCCTCACGTCTTGGCCATTCATCTCTGAAACTTACCCTGAATCTGGCAGCATCGGTCCCCCTCTGTCATCATCACCCTGCTCCAAGCCTCACGTGGCCATGACCACATCCTCTCCACTGGCCTCCCTGCCTCCAGTCCTGCCCTAGCCCTCCTCCACAAAAGCTCTCCATCACTTGCAAAATAAAGGCCAAATCCCTAAGTCTGTCATTCTCTTTCCTCATTTACTTCTGGTGTTCTTGTCCACATTCATTCTCCCACCTCCATCATCCAGGAAAACTCCTACTCATTTTGTAAGTTATAGCTCATTTAACCTTTTCCAAAAACTGTTTTCAGTTTCCTCTTCGACCCACCCACTGCACCATTAGTGCACACGTCCCAGGGGATGGCAGTCATTTTCTTTACTTATGGCTACCCTCCATCGGAACATCTCAAGGACAGGGACCATCTCCTTTTTCTTTGTGTTCTGAGTTCCAGACCCAGGGCCTGACACTTGGTAAGTGCATAATGCTCATCAGAGGAGAGGAGGGTGGCTGTGGGATCCTGCTTCTCTACCCCTGCCTTCTCTTCTCTCACTCCCCATCCCCTGGCTTAGGAATAAGACGGCCCTCTCTCATGTCCCAAGGTGATTGCTGTTTTCCCATTCACACTCTCGGGCTCCTGCACAGTTGAAGTGAAACACAGCCCCCAGGCTTTGCGTGTGCAGGTATGTGTGAGCCTGGAATGCTATGTGCTATGGCAGGAGCTGTGTGTGTGTGTCTTGTGGGAGGAGCATCCCCCATTGGTTCTGATGACCTGTGGGGTGGTCAGTGACTCACTCAGTTCTTTTATTTGTCACTGTATTGGCAGCATGTTGAAGAGTGTGCTGATGTGTGCATTTCTGCGTCTATCTGAGAGGTGGATACCTGTGTGCAGGAGTGTATTGGAAGTTCCATCTGGACAATGATTTGTGTGACTTTTAACCTTTTAAGGCTGAAACAGCCTCAAGCACCTCCTCTTTGGTAGATCACCGCATGGGGAAGTAGACAAGGTCTCCTCAGGGGAACCCAGCATCTGGTGGTATCTTTCCCACAGCTGTTCTCGTATCAGCCCTCTGGCCTGATAGATTCTCTTCCCACCTCTTGTCCTCACCCAAAGGGAGGGACGGCAACACATCTATGATTGGGAAAGGTTAGGGGGGAAATGGTGTGTGTGTGTGTGTGTGTGTGTGTGTGTGTGTGTGTGTGAGAGAGAGAGAGAGAGAGAGAGAGAGAGAGAGAGAGAGATTATCTTTTATTCTGGGCCAAAGGAGCAGGGTTTGCCAGTTGGGGTGCTTTCTGCTGCCAGAGGATGAGCTATAGGTGAGAACATGACTTGCAGGGAGTTAAAGAAGCAAGGCGAGGCCGAGCCTCAAATCCAGCACTAACCCTGGATTGTGAGCCACACACCTCACTTGCTTCACCTGGGTCATGGGAGATTGATTGATGGTGACCTGGATGAACAGAAGTAGACCTGATGACAGTTGTTACAACTCTGAGATGCTCCCCTATTCCTTTACCTGATCCCCCACTGTGCCTCAGTTTCTCAGGGAGTCAGGGCCCTAAAAAGAGCCCTGGGCCTGGTAAGACTAACAGGAGTTGGGTTATTTCCCCTTGGAGGGGGAGGGAGCTGACTTATGCTGGGAGGATGGAGCTAGACCACAATATAGCCCATCTGTGTCCCAGCTCAGACTCTGTTGTGTGACCTTGGGCACACTGCTTCCCCTCTCTGAGCCTCACTATACCCATCTGTAGTATAAGGGAGTTGAACAGGAAGCTATCTAAGGGTTCTTCTAGCCATAAAAATGCTAAGATTTTGTGACAATTTGAAAGGATGAAGCTCTCTGCCTCCTCTGGACCCTAACCTCATGTTTCACTCTCTCCATCTGTAAATTGGGAAGAATAATGCTGTTGTTGGTATATATATTGGATCTGGAGCTCTCCAGTCATCCCATCCCCAAGCCAGAACTCAGAACCACACTGCCCAGTACCTCAGCCCAAGGTGAGCCCCAGGAATCTCCATGGCAACAAACTGGTTATGAACGGGGCTGCAGTTGCCATGGTGACAGGCTGCTCTCTCTTTCTCTCTCTCTCATCCCCGTCCTCTCCCCTCCCCTCTTCTCAATGAACCAGAGCGATCTTTAGGCCTCAGTTCTCCAGGTGGGGTGGGGGTGGGGGGTGGGTGCAGTGAGAAAGGGGTCCGGATTGGGAAAGAGGGAAGATGGGCTGATTCTGCAGGGGAATGAGGGGCTGTTGGGGTGCTGTTGCTATGGTGATGGGGCTGCAGCCTGTTAATTAAACCCCCGGTTGCCACGGAGACGGTGGTGGTTGACGTGCTCCGCAGTGAGCCCTGTGTGTGTGGGGTGTGCTTTGCACTGGACTCATCAATTCACTGCTAAGGTTTTGGGTCCAAGGATGGAGCATGCGGGTGGGTGAGAAGAAGAGTGAAGGAGGGCATTCAGGGCCTTGGGCCTATGAGGCCACAGCCAGAGGTGGGTGGGTTAGGTTGCGGGGATAAGGCAGTGGAGATGCAGAGGGAGAGGGATTGAGCCATAAGGGGCAATGCTATGCCTGCCTCCTGTGAAAAGAGGACCCAGTCCAGTGGCTCTAGCTTCCTCCAGACAGCCCCTAATTCTGGTTCAGTGGATGGAGTCCTGGGCAGGAGGTCAGGGGACTGAATTCTAGTCCCCAGCCTGTTACAAGTTCACCACATGAAGAAAATGTGAACCTTTCCATTTTCAGACTCCAATTTCACAATATGTGGAGAATGGAAAAAAATAATTTATAATGTCTCTTCCAGTTCCCAAATCCTGACACTCAGGAGGCAGCTTCTCTGAGCTTTTTTCTCTCTGAGACATATGGTGGGAGGGGATATGAGTTTGAGAAACTCAGAGTTTAGAAATAGGACCCTCCCTAGCTCTGCATCTTGTGCTGCTTTAATGAGAGGGTTTCCCTGGCCCCAGATCTCCCCAGGGTTCTTGGTGGGGAGGGGATGCTGTTCTGGCAGCCAGATTCCTGGGGCTCTGGGTTGCAGGTCGCCTTTTCCTGGCCAGTGCCAGGCTGGCAGTGTAGCAGATTCCTGCCATGTGTTTCTAAACCTCACCACAGAGAGCTGGCTGGAGGCCAGAATAGGGCACAGTCTTCCTGAGAGGTGTCAATGGAGGGACTGGGGTCTCCCCTTGGGACTGTCTGTTCACTTGCTATGGCCCCCTCAGGAAGGGATATGTGGCTTTGGTCTGAGATTAGTAGAGAGAGCACTGAGTTTTCAGAGCAGGAAGAAGTGCCATGGATTATGCAACCTAAGTCACTTTTACAGACGGGATACTGAGGCCCACAGAGAGAAGTCCAATTTTGCCCCAGGGATATACAGAGAATTTAGGGGCAGAGGATACGATAGAATCACTATCTTTTGAATCTCAGATGGCCCTTGAGATGGGAACTCTAGTGAAGGTGGACAGATGGGTTACCCAGGAGAAGTGGAATCACTACTGCCTTCACCTATATTCCCTAGAATCTTCATGTATGGACCCAGACCCTGAGTGGCCAAAGCTGGACCACAAATGATGGAAAATAACCCCAGGGGAACACGCAGACTTGGGATTGCTGAAAAACCTCAGCAACTTCTTCATTCCACAGCACTTCTCAGAAAAACATGCTACACGTGTTTTACTATGTTATGCATCTCTGCAGAGTAGTAGACCACAGTGCTGCTGCTGCTGCTGTTGCTGCTGGGGTGTGTGTGTGTGTGTGTGTGTGTGTGTGTGTGTAGTGGAATGCTTAAAAATTTTTGAGCACTGGCCTTCTCATCTGCTATTCTTTTAACCTCTGTCACCAAACTCATCTTACCCTTTTGGTGGTTTTCTTTTCGGGAGTGCCAAGAATACCCATGCCCACAACTTGTCTGAATAGCTAACTCTTCACCCTTTAGGGTCCTTTGGGTATCCGAAAAACCAAGTGGCAGCAATACTTGGTCGGTAGGTCCCTCAGAGGCATCTTTGAGTCAGTTGCTGAAGACTCCACGGTTGACCCAAACTGAAGCCACTGACAAATTTTATCAATACAAGTAAAGCTGAGCCCTGGGCCCTGTCCTTGGTTCTGAAAAAGTGCTGTCCTATATCCTGGTCTCCAGGTATACGAATGGCTCTTTAGGATCGTTGCATGTTTTCTGGAGGCTTCCCTTTCAGTTGCAAGCCAAGAGTCCATTCTAGCCCTGCAATTTTGAAGCCTGAGCGCAAGAAAAGGAAGAAAGCGCATCTCAGACCTAGTTCCTGTTTCTTTTCTTTTTTTCAGGAGCTAATGATCAGCAGCTGCTGAGGGGCTTGGATATGACTGCATCCTTGTCTCTTTTATGGAGGCAAGACAGATTTTATAAGTTCTATTGATGACACGAGTCCTAAACTGAAGTGAGGCAAACAGGATGCTAGACAAAATTCTGCCATTCACTGGCGTTATGTCCACAGGCAGTCATTTTCCCTCTATGGGCCTTAGTTTTTTCATCTGTGAAATGAAAGCTGTGTGTAAGATTCAATGACTGATCCTTTTCCAACCCTAGAACTCTTCTGGAATTAAGAGGACCAGTGAGAGAGCCAGTGCGAGTCTGAAAATTGTTTACCCCGATCAACTCCCACCCTCAGATGTTTAGATCTTCCAGAGACTGAAAGCTTGCAAACCTCTGATGCCAATTCCTGAGACATCTGCACCACTGGCTCAAACCTGGGCCCTGGGGGTGCTGAGGGGTCCCAGGATGATCAAGCTTTTGGGGGATTGGCCTTAGGGGAGGGGGGAGGAGGACAGAGAGCATGTAGGCTCTGGAAGCCTCAGAAAGCAATCCTGGATTAGGGGATTAGACACTTCTGCCCCAGGAGAAAATCTGGTCTCAAACCGACAGGCGGCCTCATTCCCCCCTCCCCCACTCTGTCCTGGCCAGCCTCGGGACTGGCCTGTCCTCCCTAGAGGCTGCACCATCTCTGGTGGAAAGTCAGTGCTCCCTGGAACCTCACTGCTGCCTCTTCTCTTTACCAGGTCTTATCCCTAGATCAGTCTGCAGTCAGAAGGTCCCTGGCTGTGGGCTCCAGGGATGTGTATTGGGAGTGGGATGCTGGGACTCCTGTCAGTCTAAGCACAATGAGAGAGTTCCTTGTAACTCCTCAGGCGCTAACGCCCTCCATTTTAAGACAGGTTGGGCCAGACAGTCAGCCCAGTGACCTGAATGCCCCTGGGGGTAGCACATTGCTTTAGTTATGGGCCCCAGGCTCTACATGCCTCCAGCTCCAATCTCTTGAACAGTGGTATGAAAGAGGGTCTGGCTCTCCTCCCCCACTTCGGGGTTGGCCTCTCCAGTCTTGCAGAGAGGCTTCCCAAGGGCCCCATATTCCATGGCGCACCTCCATGGCCACTTCAGTGCCCTTTATCTTCCCCCTGGGGGCTACCCCAGACCCCTGGTCGGGCAGCCGCTGCGGGGCCGCCTCCCCGCGGCCGCGACCTAGTTCCCTGCCGTTATTTTTAGGGCGCGGGATGGCACCTGCCCACGTGCCGCGCCCCGCCCGGAGAGTGGGTGGGGGGGAGCTGCGTCTGCTCAAGGGAGGCGAGGCCCTGTCCCCTGAAGCACCCCCTTCATCCCACCCACGCAATCCCCCAGTTTTCGTGCAAGGGGGCCACTAGTCGCGCTCTGCCCGCCCCTCATCGTCTCTTCTCCCTCCCTCCCGCTCTCCCCCCCAAAACCCCGCCAGTGGCTCACGCCTCCTGCATACGGGATGAGGTGAGCAGCGCCGCTGCTGAGAGGGGGCGCGCGCGGGTGTGAGCGTGTGTCCGTGTGCGAGTGTGTGTGCGCCGGGCGGGCGGGCACTGCAGCTTCTTCCTCCGTGGAGCGGAGAGCGAGAGCGAGAGCGAGCTAGAGCGAACGAGAGAGCGGCGAAGGCAGGCAGAGGGGCGCAGGCGAGGCGGCGCAGCCATCCCCGGACCAGGGGCCGCGCCGCCACCATGCTAAACAACCTGACGGACTGCGAGGACGGCGATGGGGGAGCAAACCCGGGTAAGCTGTGGTCCGGGGGCGGCGGGGGAGGGGGCAGCGAGGAAAGGAGGCAGCTCTGGGGCTAGAGGCGGAGCGGGGGCCACCTCCTTCAGAGAGGAGGGTGGGCCTGACCCAGGCAGTGGGCACCGGCAGAAGCCTGGAGTCCAGCTCCATTGGAATGCTCCGGCCGCTGTCCAAGGTGCTGGAATGCGCCGCGCCCGGGTGCAGAGCTGGGGGCCTGGGGGGATTGTCGCTGTCCACGGCTTCGGGCCGACTTGGGTTAGCTAAACAGAGGGAGGTGGTGGGAAGGGGATAGAAGAGCTAGAATGGGCTGACATGGAGCTCGACGGCGGGAGGAGGGCTCCTTTCCCCGACAGGGGACCCCGGCGTCCTGGCACAGAGCGGGCACCGGTGGTGCCGGGGGGCGCAGTCTGCTGCAGTCCCTGGTTCTAAGACTTCCATCTGGAAGATGGGGGAAGAGGTGGCTGTGTGTGTGTGTGTGTGTGTGTGTGTGTGTGTATAAGGGGTTGGGGCTATATGACAGCCCCCGTCCGGGCTGCGATGTCTCCTTAAGGGAACCCTTGGTGCAATCTGGGACCCCTCCCCCAAAGCTTCCCAAGGTCCGACCTCTGACTGAAGCATACCTCCTCCATTGATTTTCAGCTCTACTTTGCAGAATCTCCCCCTCTCTCTCTCGCTTTCCCGTGGGCTCCTCTTTAGGACAGGAAGGAAGATCACCCTCTTTTCTTCCCTCTTTCCCCCTCCTCTCAGTTCTCTGGGGCGGTCCAGTGTAGCGGGGGGATTCTTTTCAGTTAGCTCTGCTAGCTCCCCCAGTGAGGCCTCAGAAATGGGGTCCCAGCGGCTGAATCCTCAGCGCCGCGGCGCGGACACTGCGGACGCGCTGCGGTGGGTGCGGAGACTCGCAAGGAGCGGAGGGGCTTGGTACAAGTCCTTTTGCTGCTCCCGCTCTCCCCCGCCCTCCTCCGCGGTTTCCTTGCTCCGAGGTCTTGGGGCCAGCCACCCCCTCAGGCTCTCAGGTCCCCCGCCGCCCCCCAGCGGTCTCAGCCATCCATCACGGCTGTCAGCCGCCCCCACCCCCCGCTCTCCAGAGGCGCCGCGTCCCCTGCGCACTAGCGTACCTCCTGCTCCTGCTGTCTGCGCTCAGCGCCTTCAAACGTTCCCCTGGGCACTGCTTGACCCTATGAGCCGACTCCTGCAGATCCCTCTGGGGGATGGTCCCTAGGGCTGAAAGAGCAGGGTGTTCTAGGGATTGGCAACCTTGACTCTGAGGTCCTCCTGATCCTGGATACTGAATCTCAATCAGGGCCAGTGGCCACTTGGAAAAGCTGGGGACACCAGGGTCCCTATCCTTTGACCTCCCACCCCCCGTAACTCCTAATTTCTCTTGGGGGCTGAGTGGCATACAGGTGCCAGAACTCCTAGCTGGCCAGCTTATCCACCTCCCCAGTGACCCTGGGATCACCTCATCCAGCATCCGCCCCCTCCCCCGCGGGCTTCTGGCTGGAGGGGGAGGGGGTTTGGCAAAGTTGAGCCTGCGGCAGCGCCAGGCATCCTGACGCGGATCTTTCCATCTGGGATCCCCTTCAGATGCCTCCACTTTGAAAGGGGGACTCAGATGAGAGAGCATCTCTCTGTTCCCTCAGACACCGGGTATGGTCCTGTACCCCAGCACCCGCTTTCTCTGCTAAGGTTTCACCAGGCCTTGGGGTTTCCATGGGGTCTTAGGAGGCCTAGAAAAGAGGCATCAGTTTGTATGAGGCAAGAGTTGAACTGGGAACTCGCTTCAGTTCTATCCCCTCTCTGTTAGTTTCTAGACACTGAGTGCAGCGGACCCATTTGGAGACCTTCTTTCTATACATAGGGTCCAGGACCTGGAACGCCAGTGGCCAGAACCTGGGTCAGGTGCTCTGGGTCCCAGAGAGAGAAGATCCCCACCCCACACCCCCACCCTCCAGTGGTGCCTGGAGATGGTGGTAAGAGGTGCTAAGGACCTTATGGACTTGAGTGAGGACCATCAGGCCAAGAGCCCCTGACATCTCTGATTCTAGATTCTTGGGGATGTACGGGAAGGAACTGGTTGCTGACCTCGCTGGCAAGTGGGAATGGCCCAAGTAAGTGGGCACTTCTGGACTAAAGAAGAACCCAGGGATGTGTCCCAGTCTCCTTTCCCCTTGGGGTCTGACACCCCCTCTCCCTCTTGGAGCTGGCCTAGGGATTCCCCCAGGCCCAGCCCCAGGCTCCGGGGAGGCTTCTTAGCCTGCGCCGCTCGCCTGTTTCCTCCCCGGGAGCTCTGGCCGCCGCAGCTTAATTGAAAGCCGATTCGGGTTGAGAGCTCCCAGGGGGCGGGGGCGGGGAGGGCTCAGTCTCGGTCTGGCCCTGCCTCTGGAGTGCGCTCGGCGCTCCCGCATCACCCTTACTCTTGGCTCTGGGGAATCAGGGTGAGTTTCCCCTTAGCTGTTCTGGTTCTTTGAGAACTCGGAAGCTCATTCCCCATCCCCCTCAACCAGTGCTCATGGCGTTCCAGGGAGCGGACGAAATCAGCCTTGGCTGACAAGTCCTGGGAGCCTGGCGTCCCGCCCAGGCAGCTAGTGGAAAGGCGGGACCCAGGATGAGCCTACCTAGCCGCCCTCTCCTTTGCCCTCATCTCCTGGCCCGGATCCGGCCTGGAGTCTGGCTCTGCGCTGCGCGCCGCGTTACATAAGCGGCTGCGGGCGCGCGGCCCGCTAGGCTCGGCGCTGCGCTCTCGGCCTGCGCGGTCGCCATGGAGACCGGCGCCGGGCCACCTAGTTGCAGGGTCTCGGCCCGGACGCCCCCATTCCCGTCCCCTGAGTGCCACCCGCCCCTGCGAAGGAGGAGGCGCTTGGGAGGGGGCGTGAAAGGCAGAGGGGAGGGGTTTTCTGGTCTCGTCCTGGCCCTAACAGGGAACGCTGGGCGGAAAGGGACCCAGCTCCATAGGAGACAGGACCCCTAAATCTTATGGCTGGAGGTGCCGTATGGGATGGGGAGCCCAGGCTGGGGAGGCACCAAGTATGTTAATAATAATCGCAATTGCAATAGTAGCACCAATAGCCACACTCGTGGCTGGCACACCTAACATGCATGATTTAATTTAATCCCCGCAACGGCCCTATGAGTTAAGCTTGGTTAGTATGCTTTTGCAAAGGAGGAAACTGAGGCGTAGAGAGTTTGTGACTTGCTGAAAGTGACGACACAGCCAGTGAAGCTGGGACTCGAATGTCTGTTTCCATAACTCCAGCCCCCTTTCTTAACCGTTAGGAAACTTCCTCTCGCCTCAGGTCCCCTTAACTTCTCTAGTCCACACCATGGTGTGCTGAGAACAGGAGGCAGCATTTTAACAGGAGCGGGAATCTACTTCGTCCTTGTTTCTCCTGTTCTCTGGTCCCAGAGAGTTATTCTGAGATCCTGGGGTACAGAGGGGAGCCCCGGATAATTTAGTCCCAAATACTTTTTCCTGACCACCTATTACGCGCTGGGCTCCCACTGGGAGGATGGGTCTGTTATTCCCAGGAACTCACATATGTGAGAAGAAAGAGCTGACGCCCCCTATTTGGCAACCAGGAGTTTCTGCCTTGATGGATGAGGTGGAGGTGGTGGCAGAAGACTTGGTGGTGGGTTTCCTTGGAGCAGGTGAGGCATCAGTCCTCCTGGTCCAATTTTTAGTCAGGAAGAGATTGGTTTTATAACAGAGACAGGACATGCTCTCGCTGGGTGATTGAGGAAGGTTTCCAGAAGGTAGAGATGAGGACCAGGAAGATGCAGATGAATGGAGATGGGGAGAAAGGGATGTCAGCTGTTGAGGGGACAGGAGAATCAAGGTATGTAGGCCCTCAATTTTACTTGGAATTTGGTCAGTGGGGAGTTTCTCCAGTGTCCAGAGAGATGTCAACTGCTGGAACTCAGCCCTGGAATTGAAGAAGGGTCAATTGAAGAAGGCTGAAGCCAAGGAAATGTACCTTTGGGGCCTCTTATATCTTTCGGAAGGGATCTTCCCCCTGGTGCCCAAGATACTTTCTCCTCGAGTGATCTCATCCAGGCTCATGGCTTCACATGCATCCTACACATATTTACATGGCTTACCCCCACCTCTTTCTCCTGGCCAGCCTCTTTGCTGCATGTATCCTTATTCATATATCCAGGTGGCTTCCGGATGTATCCACTTGAGTGCCCTACAGTGCCTCACCCTCAGCTAAATTCAGCATCTTCTCCACCTCCAAACTCCTCCTCTTCTAGTCTTCCCATTTATTAAATAGCACCATCATCCAACCATTCACCCATGCTAGGAACCCCAGGCGTTATCCTGGATTCTTCCTCTCCCCCTCCCCAAACATCTGGCATTGAAATATGCCAGTAATTCTGTCTATTGCTCTACATTGCTCTGGTCAGGGACATCATCAGCCCTAACCTGGTTTACTGAAAGTCTCTAACCACTGTACTTTGTTTTCTTCACCTAAAACTTCAAATGATGGCTCTAAAACATGGATTTATTCATGGCACTTTTTAAAATTTTTTTCTGAAACACTTCAATGCCTCCCCATTGCCCTCTGGATAAGGTCCACATTCTTGAACATGACCTGCTAAATGCTTAAGGGCCCAGCCTACACTTCCCTTTCCAGGCTCACCTTTTCACTTTTCACTGCTCCTTCCACAGACTCCAGCCAGATAATACTTCACTCCTCTAACCCACTCTGTTTGCTTTCACCTCTGGGCCATCGAACATGCTGTTCTGCTGTTCTGTCTGCCTGGAACACCCGCCCTGCCTCCCTCCCAGTCTAGCTCTTACT